TTGAGATTCACTATATGTTGTGAGGTCTGGAGTTGGTAATGGCATTAATTTTCGTCCTATAAGAAAGTATCGCGGAGAAAGTGCTAAAAGGTCATCAGGAGACATTTAAAATTGCCTCAATTTGAGCAAATAAGGTACTTAGTTCCTCAAATGTAAAATGCAAATTACTCGTCACACGTTAAATATGATGTTTTGCCGATTTCACGCCTGCCTCGCAAATGCCGCCAAATGAGGAGCATATGTGAATACGAATTTGAAACCTTCTTGACTTGCATAATCAGAAAGAGAGTGCAACCTCCAGATGTATACATTTATATCTCAAACAAACAAATACGATTTTTGCAATTTAGCTCCACGTCCCTTCCACGTTTAGAGTATAAAATGGACCTGCAAAATCAACTCCCACCGAATCAAAGGGAAAGTTTATTCGCTAAGACAGGAGATCACCCATTTTGGGGCATAAAGTTTTGCCTTGTAAACGCCGACAAACCTTACACTTATGCACAGTGTTAAGAGCAAGCCGTCTGCCATTTACAGCCCATACAGTTTCGCTCGTAACAGACAATAATTGAGGGCCAGCATGTAATAGGCGTTTGTGTTCGCGTCCGAATAATATTTTTGTTAAAGGATGGGAGCCATCTAAAAGAATTCGATGCTTCTTTTCATATTTGTATGATGCTGCATCGATACGATCATCGACACGAATTAAATAATTTTCATATATAAATGAAGATAACGACAAGATTTTAGATTTTGTACTTATAGGAACCTTTTTAATTAATTTATTATAGTCAAGAGGAACCTTTGTCTTTGGGAAATAGAACAAAGAAAATTGAATGACTCATTTAATTCGTCTAACTGTAAGCAACCTGATTTTCGTTCGTGTGGATGTTTACGTTGTAAAATGTTTCAATTCCATTTGTTATTCTTTTTCTTTTTAATGTTATTCTTTTTCTTGTCAATAATAATTTTTTACTATAATCATCTAAATATAACTTGGATTATTATTTTCACCATTTATGTAGCGAAAACATACAGATATAAATTGGAGAAGGACCACATATACCGGACCTAAAATATATTAATAAAAGGTCCAGTTGTTATGAATTATGTTTTATTTTTTAATATACTTTTATGTACAAACAAAATTATAATAAATATGTTAAACCGAACCAAAAACAAAAAAAAAATAAAAGACGTTTTAAACATAAAGGAAAATAAATATTACAAAAGAGTTTTTATATACAAATAAATATATGGTGGTGTCATCAACAGAGAGTTTTGAAGAGATAACTTGCCAGTTTGTGTTAAATAATAATAAAACCCAAATAATCTTGACCCAAACAGAAACTACAGAGTTTGAAATAAAAAAAAGGTTTTTGGTGTTGTAAATTTGCAAACAAAAGTGCATTTAAAAAAAATGCCAAATCACTTAGTCTGTATGTTATTTTATAAACATCCTCATGTCTCTAGCTATCCAACGAGGTAAAAAACAATGACACTTAGTTAACACTCTTAAAGATTCACTAGGTCCCTGGCACCCTGAGACTGGTGCCAGTATCGACACGGTGCAAAGATCGTCGTTTGATTGTTGGAAAACGCTCGGTCTGCGATACGGTTGTTCGAAAGAGCCGTTCATAGGATGGGTGACCAAAAATTTATTATCTCAAACTCCTCCCTGCTTCAGAAGGCACTTTAAGCCGTTGGTCCTGGCTGCATTAGTCGTCAACACCGTTCACCCTATAAGAATCGGATTCGATTCCATCCATAGGGAAGGCCTGAGCCCTAGCAGTGGGGACATTCATAGCCTGGTAATGATAATGAATGTTCAACCACATCAGTTATTTAGGTAATGTTTCCAGTTGATTTCTACTATATTTTTTTATTATTTGCAACATGCCACTATCATTACAGGCTTTCTTAATCCGATAGCGTAGACATAAATAATAATTATAACAAATAGTGGTGTCATAAGAAATTCGTTTCATGAACTAATAAATAGATCTATGAACTTTGGAACTACATTTAGACAATGTAACGTTTGTTAATTTGCATTTGCAATATATCGACGGATTTAGCTTAGATATAAATATGTTTGTAGATGTACTTCTTCTTGTTCCGAAAGCTATTGCGACTTTCAACGTTACACAATTCTCAAAAATACCTTTTGGTATTACGCAAAAGAACAACATTCCTCTAATTAATGTTTTTCAAGATTAAATAACGAACGATGTAGCATTTAAACTATTTCAATGAGATAAATTAGTGGAGAGTATTCTATTGATTCCGTTTTGTGTATAAAATATCAAAACAAGATCAAATATCTCTTTATTCAAGTAGGCTAATACAAGCACTTTTCAATCGTCCAAAATTTTTTTCCCATACCACTTGTTCAGGACGTCTTTTAGCTGACAAAAGAACAAGCGAAAGAAACTTACCAGCTCTTTATCATAAGTAATGACATTTACATAAATCATGTCATTACCAAAATAATATGTATTATTACAATAATAATTACAACTTTCAAAGTCTGTAGGACATAGGTTAAACATATAATAAGACTTTATAGTACAAAGCGAAGGCTATTAATTCCATGCATTGCGATCTTTAAAATAATCATCAACTTTATAATAGCCTTTACTCATAAGTATGTTCTTTACATGAATTTTAATGAATTTATTTATGGGTAGGCCAACTACATTTTGTGGAACTTTATTGAACATAGTAATGCATTTACCCAGAAATGATCCTCTGGTTTTCTGAAGTCTGAAGCTTGGAACGGCAAGTTTATTTTTATTTCTTGTGTTAAGCTTATGAACACTATTTTTTTTTGTGAAGGAATCGTAATGTTTTCTTGCGTACATAATATTTTCATAGATGTATTGAGAGGCAACAGTCAAAATATTTATTTTTTTAAATATTCCTCTGAGAGATTCTCTAGACTGTAAATTATATATAGCGCGGACAGCTCTCTTTTGTAGAATAAAAATATCTTGAATGCTAGCCGCAGAACCCCACAACAATACACCATACGTCATTACACTATGAAAATAACTAAAATATACCATTCTTGCCGTTTCAACATTTGTCAAGAATCTAATTTTCTTAACAGCAAATGCTGCAGAACTCAGTCTACTTGACAAATTATCAATATAAGGATCCCATTGCAGTCGGGAATCTAGTGTAATACCAAGGAGCTTTCTCTATTCCACCAACTCAACTTTTTCACTATTTACATATTTACATTAGGTAATGCAAACTTTATACATTTCGTTTTATTTGAATTAAGCTTTTCTATCAAACCACTGTAGAACATTGTCGAGAACATCATTTACATCGTCAAAACAATCATTACCCCTCTTAACTTTAAACACTAAAGAGGTGTCATCAGCAAATAATACTGTCTCGCACAAATTCTTTGATTAAAGAAGCCTCAGATTTTCCTGCCCTATGTCATTTCAAAACTCACTTCATCTCTGCCACAAAACGTAAAGAAATCCATTTCAAGGTTAAGCAGGTTGTTTTTCGAAGTGAGTTCTGTCACCTGAGTGAACAAACATTCGTAGCACCTAACAATAATTTCATAGCAAACACACTGCTAGAATTTAGCAGACGTTACATTTTTCACTTACAACATAAACTATTAGATTTATCTTTTATGAAATGCGAAAGCAAATAGCCGTTCTCTCCCTCGAATATGTTTAAGGTAAGAGGCGCCTCGCGTCACCTGTGTCGCTTATGTGTCCACAGTTGAATTTACACCTAAATATGAATGAGTAATTAGGCGTTAATTCAACTGTGCAAAGACTTAGGACTCTTCTGAACAATAATTAATATGTCAAATCACTCCAGTTACAAAATCAGAAATCCGACAGAATTGTATAACTGACGTGTGTTTGACAGTACATTGTTACATATTTGCTGGGATCAAAACAGTGTTCAATGAGAAATTAAAGCAGTGAGTACCCTAAGTAAATACCAGTACAATATAGAAGCCCCAGCTATGACAGATGGAGGGACAGACAAATAAGTTATATAATTTCCTCTCTGTATCTATTCCTAAAGATGTGTAACACCGGTGTATTTGATTACTTAGTACACTCCATGATTCATTGAATCCACTGAAATCGATAAATATTGGTATAATCTTATCTTATTGTTTTCATTTAGGTATAAAATGGGATCATACGTTCTAGAACGTGTAGAACGACTGAAGTGTCAACTGTCTGAAAAACTCAAACCTTTTTGTTTGGTTAAGAATAGTTAAATACTAAAAGGTGAGTTATATATTACTACAAAGATAGTATACGTGAAATGCCTTGTCCTTCAATTTATTTAATATATATTCATGTGTGGTGTGCTATTTCCCGATGTTCAATCGCTGACGGTAAACCAATTTCAACTATATAATTCATTGTCATAAATTTCAGTTTAATACATGTTAATTACTTCAAACATCAATAATTTTTAACTGTACACAAGTACAAATAACGTCCAATAAACTGATTTAAAAATCAAAAACTACGTCTAAAGGTACTATCATAGACAAAACATGAATATTCTAAAGTTCTTTCGAAAATATATTAATAAAGTGAAAAATGGTGGTAGATAAGAAACGTATATTTAAATGTATTTTTAATTAATTGATTTAAAGGATCTGTTTTTACCGACATACATTAGCTTTCAACAGATGGCGCTACTGTATTAGTCTATAATTAGACGTTCTGTTTTACCAATCTCTCTCTCTCTCTCTCAATTCAAGATGGTTAGTGCTTTTTGTTCTCCTAATTAACAATTTAAGATCTTGGATAACTTTCACTAAATACTTACCGCAATTTAAGGACTGATACTCATCAAATGGATTTCACTTCTTTCCATTTCTTGATGTAATTAACATTTTTTTTTATACAGAAAAACGATAAATATTTGAGACACTTTGTAGCCGCTGGAATTAATTTATTAACTTTAATAACAATTAGGTAAAAGTTTATAAAAAAACGTTTTCGCCGCGCAATTGGTGATCCTCTAGACAGGGAAAACTTTCCCTTAACGTCTCCTAAATTGGGATCTTTACCAAAGTCGATGTTGTCCATCGGTTTTGGTTATATGTGCTTATTTTGTTTACAGATGAGATTCTCAATCCTCCTTGTTCTATCTGCTCTGGCAATTATCCAGGCTTCTGTGATAAAAGCGCCGACAAGTAGAGCCAATCTCAACGTAGGGTATGCTGCTGCCGGTGACAGACTCCTATACAGGTCAGTATTATATTTATAAATGCACTAGTCGTTTTTTAAATTTTATTATAATTTATGTCACTCGCGTATAATGTAGCTATCCGTAGGTAAAAGAATTGTAAAATACTGTCTAATAGTTGCGGAGCCTATTCAAAGCACATCAACAAACAAAATTTTGCTCTTTTTAATATTAGTATCGATATATAATGCCAAAAACCTTTCTCAGTGGTGATTGATCAATTAGGCAAACTATAATACCGGAACGAAATCACAAAGGCGAGAAAGCGCTAGGCACTATTTAATACATAAACAAATTTAATAATAAGGCTGCTAATTCTTTTGGATGTAGATATATAGAAGCTAAAAAAGAAAGCTACCTACACTTTCTTATTATACGACTGCCATAAAAAACAGACTGTTTAAGGTAAATGTATGTATGAATGTAGAATAGAATAAGTTTTAATATAACACCACATATCGCATCATTTAAGCACACAGTTTACAAAATATTTACTAATATAACAAAGAGAAGAAAAAAGTAACAACAATTAATACAATGAAAAATGGTTGTTGTGTGTGTTCCCAAACTGGCTTCAACTCAGTAATATAAGCAATTATCTTTCATCTCATCATCAGCCCTTTTACGTCCTCACCGTAGGGGCTCAGGCCTTTCCTTATGGATGGTTAAGGAGTATGGGCCATGACCCTCCACGCTGGCTCAATGCGGATTGGAGAATTTTTTTTTATTATCTTAGGCTTAATATAATGTGGGAGTAAGATGTATGTCTTCATTCCACCATAACGGATTTTTAACACCATAATACTTCCTCAATGGAAGCTTGCTTCATGTAAAATTGTATCAAGGGTAAGTTGTGGGAACATTTGCGCAAGTTTTCTATATTTACATAACATATGTAAATCCTATTAATATTATAAATTTGACAGTTTCTTTGTTTGGATATTTAGATGTTTGGATATTTGTCGGTCAATCACGCGGAAACTACAGAACGGATTTTAATGAAATTTGGTATACGATAGGGTATTAGCCGACTTATATAATAGGACACTTTTTATGTATATGGTAGATTTCTATTTCATTAAGCTTAATCAAGTAATATATTTATAACACTGAACTTAATTTAGTAATATAAGTATATCACTAAACTTGGACCGCTTTATAACTATTTTCCTAGTGAGATAGTAATGAATCGTTTCCATATAACTATGTTACGGTATATAATTATATCCCTATGGATATAACTACATTACGGCTATATCTATATATATAGTAGAACCTTAACCATATCACTTATTTTTATGTTTGAAGATAAAAAACAAAGAGGCAATGTAACGTAGTCATATCCCAATATTATACAACAATCATTATATTATCTTGTACGCTGACTATATATGACACCAGAACTATCTTCAAATATGATCCACTTAATATATATTATCTTATCTTGATGTTCAAGAATAACATTCGCTTCCAATTAGTTTATCTGAAAAACGAATTACCATTGTCAGTAGTGTTATGATTTGTTAAGTAGTGTTGCGGTACAAAATGTAATTATTCTCGAAACTTATGCATTTATTAAAAACATAACATAATAATAAATATTTCAATTCGTCTTTATTTTTATATTATTTATTTTATAATTTGCTCGTATCCCTATACCTATACGAGCAAATCTTAGGAAGATTTTAAAACTTATTGATAATAAATTAAATAAGATATGTGATAGCTATACCATTTCATTTTTTACTATATTAAACTATGGAAGAGCAGTATATTGAAAAAAAAAGTTGGTATCAGAAATCGGTTACTTTACTTTAGATGTTAAATTTTTAATATCATAATAGAAATAAGTAAAAAACTGTTCCACCGTTTAAGGAAATTCAATAAAAAAGATTAAAGGAATTAAGGGTTGATTTAAGCCCATCGGTTTTGATATCAGACATGTACAGGTATTTACTTTATTTATAATTAGTAGGCCAAAATATAAAATCTAGGCGTACGAAGCTAGCAGAAAGTTAGAGAGGTATAATGTTTATATACTATTTTACAATCACCTACTTACTTCTTTTACAGGACTTATATCTACAAGCCGGCGATACCAAATAGTGTCCAGCGCGAAGATCTCGTTTATCGTGGCAATTCCACAACAAGGATCAGTGCTATCACTGCAACAGAAGTTGGCTATACTCAGTATGCTACAGCGTGGGTGATCAGTGGTAGTATTGGTGCTAATAATGTGACCATCAGGTTCCAATCAGCCTTAGGTTGGGGCTACTACTTCCTCGTCGATATTTGGGGTCGATAATTTATATTGAATTACTTAAATATGTATGTAAATAAATATTCTTATGGAGCAGAAATGCGGGTGATTTAAAAATAAATGCAAAGAAATCCTAACGAGCGATTTAATTTTAACAATCAAAAGGATATAGTTAAATAGTAAGTTGTATGTTAATAAACGAGCCAGCAACACACTGCACTAAACACGTCCGTCCCGCCCGAGCGCTCGAAACAAAAGTGACGAGGCGCGCCCGCACTGCGTCGCGACTGGCGCGCCCTCACCCCTTCCACCGTAGATCATACGACTGACGACGACGCTGACGTCACTAGGACGTATGAGGCTACATTTCTAAGAATATATTATTCGTTTTATATATATTTTATTTACGTTGTATTGAATTATCTTCCAAAAACGAAATATAAAGAAATAAAAACAAAGGAATGAATGAAATAAAGAAATTGCATATCAATTTTCAACGAACCACAATGTAAAAACTATAGACCTAAGATTTCCTTTCAACACCTTAGTTAACCAACCACAGCTTATTTTGTCAGAAATTAATCCACGACCAGCAAGTTGTTAGAATAGTGTTTTTTTTTTTCTTTACTATTGATTTTACAAAGGTGTTTGATAAGGTCATCATAACTTGTTTCTGTCATAACAAAAGTTTTATAAGACGTTTATTTCAAATCTTCTGTTACAGTCACAGAATAATTTTGTTAAAGATACATACCCAGTAAGTTATTAAAATATGATTTTATATTTACAACTGATTTCGTCAAGGCGTTTGATAAGGTCAATCATAGTTTGTTTTTCTTTTTTGTAAGGTGAAGTAAACTTTCGAGATGGTTATAATCCTATTATAATCTACACTAACAGTCGTCAGGAATCCTGTTCTGCCCATCTCACAAGTTTACCCACGTAACATCAAATAAATCTAATACTTTAAGGTCATTCACCAACAACAGTCTATTCCTGTATGTTGTGTTAATTAAATCTATAAATTATTACCAAAATCCCAATAATCTATGGCAAAACAAAATATAATAACCGGGTAAAAATTAAAATGTTTACTACAGTCCTTCACAAGTCCGAAAATAGAACAAACTAAAAAGTTAATAAAATATATACCCCGAAAGTAAGAAACTACCAGTATAATAATCAACTACTTTTCCGACCAATATTATACCTAAGTCAATTCGATAATAATAGACAGTTCTCATCAAGCACAACATAGTCATTCCAAAAATATCAAGAATTATTTTCTAATTAGCATTAGCTAGCAGCTAGTTTATCTAACAATGTTGCCAGATATAAATTAAAACGAAGAGCTAGAATGATGAAAGTAAGTGGTAATCCCACAAAATAGGCACTATAAAAAATGCTAGACTTCACGCTACAGACTACAACTACAGCTTTTTTCTTGAATTATTAAACACACACACATAAATAATTCTTATCTCTAACAAAAATATGGTGCAACAACTTCTTTGTCATTAAGAAATTCTGTCACTTACATTCTACCGAGCAAATCGGCCACAACAAACGTTTTGGCGAGTCTCAGTTATATTAAAGATTTAGGTACTGACATGGTATCTGGACATTATATTACTGAACACCTATACCCTGTATCTTGAGATCTTACCCGTTATTCTAATTTCAACAACAACCCCTATTCTTTATTAACTACTAGATTTCGCCAACGGCTTCATCCGCGTGGGTACTAGGGATATTTTTAATGGGATAAAACGTATCCTATTATCTAAGTCAGCTAATACACTATCTGTATACCAAATCTCATCAAATTCCGTTTAGTAATTTCGGCGTGATTGACGGACAAACAGCCAAACATTTATATATCTTATATACCAGTATCAGTTTAGTCTAGGTCAGAAAAGGACTGTAGGATTCTAACCATCTTAGAAGACCTCACCATTATAGACAGTTTTGAAGAAAACAAGATATGGTTGACCTTATCCATTAACGAACGGTTTAATGAAATCAATGGTAAAGAAAAATATTTCATATTCTAGCAACTTATTGGTAGTGAACGTTTATGGAGATTCATGTTTTTAATTTTTTTATGTAATAATAATACTCATAATCTAAAGGACATCGTATACAACTTTAATGTTTTTTTTACGAACTGACATTCATAAAGAGAATATTGGATTATAAAATTTCAAATTACAAAATGTGAATAATAAAAGGAAATGATGTTGAAGATCAGAGACAAAAAGTTTGCATGCACATGCACACCGTTAAAAACGTTTTAAAAAATCCGTTCTTAGAACACCTCTACGTAATAAGATGAATGTATCCTCCAAATTTGAAGTCTCTACGGTCAGCTTCAGATAGCATGCTAACTTGGGGCAAGTTTGATTTTTCTATGATTCTAAATCGCTGCGTCAAATATACGAAGCAAGTTTGTGGCTATGTCGCTGCAATATTGTTATGTTAAATATGAAGTTTCAAGTTTGTTACAATATTGTTTGAATATTGTTATGACAAAGATACTTATTTGTAACACACCCATCATCTTCATAGGTGCCCGAATAGTTCTAAGTCTGCAAACTAGATGACGCTGTTCATTTAATGCATCACGGTATCAGTTTTTATTGTTAGATTGTATAAGTATTATGCCGTTTACGGTGATCTTCACAGAACACGGAAAAGAGGTTAGAAAGGCGATCATGCATCCTTTGTACGAAAACCGATGTCACCAGTCTTGCCCCACTTTTAGTCCGCCGTACATCAGACGAAATATCAGACCAATTATACAAAAGATATGCACACACTTGCATTTTAAACATGCCAATCAGAACGCTCCAATATAACTATAACCAATCACGCTCAACCATAACAGACATCTATAGTGCGCAATAAACGTGTAAAAGCCATTTTAATTTGACATATCACACTAGTGATTGACATAAAGTTATTTACTATCGATATTGAAAAACAACAAGTCGATTAATTGAAAGGATACTAGAGTAATGATTTCTTTATATTATTTTGGATATACATTGAATTGTATTGATTAAATGTGACATTATCTTTTTTCTTTAGATATTAATTCTTAATTAGTTGGTTGATTCAATAAGAAATATTTAAATTACTAATGAACTAACATTGAATCGGTACTAGTCGTAGCTTAAATATTTATTTGCATATAAATATGTTTGTTTATTAATAATAATAGTAGGTATTTTTTTACGTTACGTTACTCGATTTCGTATCAAGTAAACAGATAAGATCGGCAACATCGCTTAAATGAAACTAGTAATATTGACAAACAATATAATGTAAATAAATATATACAAAATAAAAAAATACTATCAGTACAATAAATGCTATTGGAACTTATCCTGAACGGATTCCGATGATTTAAAAAGTATTGTTGTTAATGGTTCAAAATAATAAAAAAAAACTAATTTTCTGTTACAATATTAAGAATATAAAAACAGAGTTATTACCACACTCATTATTAAAATTAATTATACAAACGCATACCAAACGAAGTCAATATGGTTAATCTCTGATTAAATTTATTTTTTATTACCACTATTTTTATCGTCCATACTTTTATTTAGTTTTTACTAACTAACACACCAAGAATCGATTAAATGTTTCCAGGCACTTCACTAGCCATCTACCGTAATCTATTATGTTGCTATTTAAAACGGTGATTTCGCGATGTTCTTTACATTACGTGCTTAGTACGACGCAATGTAATAAATATGCGCACTTATCCAGCAATGTATATTTTCTTGGAAATATTTTTTGTAATTCACACTTTTGATACCATTTCACGACTTTCGATTAAAAATACTAAATTTGAGAAGTGTTCTACTAACTAATGGAAAGAAATCCTTCCTTTGGACCTACTTGAGGATGGGCTTCTTGTTTTGCAATTAATAATTGCGCAAGTCGGCATTTTTAACACTTTTAGTGGCGCATTTCACAGTACTTACAGCGCGCGCGTTCGTGAATGACTAAATATCGCGACCGCGTGGTGAAGTCACGATCCTGTACATTTGTCCAGGATCGTGGCTACACTGCCACGCCCACAAGACCCTTCTAACGTCTTTCTGTGTTCTGTGGTGATCTTACTCATCCGATCAGCCGTGGACTATGAACCGCCCCCCTCCACCTCTCCTCTCGCCCGCAGGCCTAAATCGGTTCTTACCGATCCTCCCTCCAAGCTTTCCGCTGACCTGGACCTCCTCCTGGAGGCCCAACAGGCAGATTCCGCTCCTAGCCCTTTCGGCCCTTCAGGCCAACCCCAATCCGTTTTAGTTAATAGCTCCACGGCAGGGACTTAACTTTACATAAATTCATTCAAAATTATATTTAATATTGATTTAATTAAAATTTAAATTCAATTCATTAAAATCCGATGAGCCGTTACCCCGGGGATAACGGCTAACAACTGGACGTCATTATTCATGTAAGTGAATAGGGACGTCTGCGCTGAAGAACGCTCCCATGAAGGTTCGTTGCCCCATCAGGGCACGTAACCAACTGTCCAAGGCGGTGTTGTCAGTAGGAAGAAGTCTGACATAACCTCACAACCGGCTTTGAGGTATCCAATGAAGGATTGACTGCCTCCTTCCGCCGCTGGGAAGGTGGTTCCGAACCGCTAAGGTTGAGACCCGAAAAAAAAATGATCCTAATATGGGATTCGAAACCAACCGTTCCAGTTATTCAATTCGGCTCCCAGGCCAGGCTCTGTCTGTGCTGTGATCTGAGTTTAATAAGTCGCAATCGCTTTTTGACCAAAAGTTTTGAATAATCAAAAGATTAATAAAAACTTAGTAATATTTGCCTGGAAACCTATAATCCAGGTACTCCAGTACCCGAGTACCTGCCAGGTATTCGAGTCAGTACCTAGGAAAATTATCATTACTACTACGGTAGTAGTAATAATAATTTTCCCAGGTACCCTTGCACTACCTTTGATACGTCAAAGGTAGTGCAAGTCACACTGAAACTAGAAATTTGATTTAAACTTGCTTTGGATCAGGGCAACCAGGTTGATGTTGTGTATACTGATTACTCTAAAGCATTTGGCAAAATTTCCCACTCAATACTTCTAAGGAAAATTGGTGAAATCGGTATACATGGTGACCTTCTGCGGTGGTTTGAGTCATATCTGAGAGAACGAAGCCAGGCCGTTAACATTAAAGGTTTTTGCTCAACCTTTGTGCCCTTAACATCAGGAGTGCCTCAGGGTTCTCAGCTCTTGGACCCCTTCTTTTTAATTTATTTATAAATGACGTGATTTCTATTCTAAAGAATTCTGACATTCTTTTCTACGCTGATGACATGAAGATTTTTAAGATAATTAAGGATCCCATTGATTGCGTGTTACTACAGGCAGATCTTGACCAATTGTGTGTGTATTGTTTACAGAATTATTTAATTCTAAATCCTGAAAAATGCAATACTATATCTTTCTCCCGTAAACTTAAGCCCATAAATTATAATTATAAATTGAATGATGTTGTGCTCAAAAGGGTGCCTGTGGTGAAAGATTTGGGCGTATATTTAGATGACAAATTAACATTTAATGCACATATTGAACACATAACTTCGAAAGCGTATCAATGCTTGGCTTTGACTTGAGGACTGGACGGGATTTTAAATATAACTCCACTCTAATGTTATTGTTTAATTCATATGTATGATCTGTTTTGGAGTACGCATCGACGGTATGGAATCCACAGTATAAAGTGTATATTGACGCAATTGAAAAAATCAACAAAAAATTTGAAAAGCACCTCAAATTTAGATCTGCTTGCGATAACCACTAACCTATTCGTATTCTTTCTTTACTCGATCGTCGTTTAGAGAGGGATCAAATGTTTTTGTATAAGATTTTAAAAGCTCACGTTGACTCGAAATTTTTATTACAGAATATTAATATAAGATGCTCTCGAATGGGTTCACGGTCTAAATAGCTTTTTTCTGTCCCATTAACTAAAACTAATTATGCAGGAAATATTTTTGTTTATAGATCTTGTAAAGAATATGACATGAAATTTATCTCCATTGACATTTTTAATTGCTCAATTCCTTCTCTAAAAAAACTTGTAAAAAATATAAAGGATAATCCTGACGAACATTAAATGATATTGTTATTATTTTTATTTATAGTCCTAATTTAATTTGATAATTAATGTGCGAGTAATTAGAATATTGACCATTGTGTAACTTTGACATGATTGTTGACATTATAGACTCTTTTTGTTAGTGATTAATGAAAATTAAACCAATCGATAATTTAGTTATTTTTTAATGTGAAAAGTTACATGTATATTGTATAAACTATTAGTGGAAACTTTACTGATTAATGTGTTATTTTAAAATTTTTCAATTGTATTTATTATAAATATTGTTTGTTTCCCAAATATAATAAAATAAAAAAATATTTTTACAGACAATATTAATAAGTAGCTTGGTAGCGCAACGGATAAGCGCCGCTACCCGCGATTGTTATTCACGGGATAGGTGACCAAAAAATTATTAAATAAAGGCCTGAGCCCCACTGCATGGGGATGTTAAAGAGCTGACAATATATCAGATAAACAATATATCAGAGACTACAATTGAATTAAGCAATTAATTTCATAACAATTTTGACGAACACAGTACTTCAAATTAATATAACTTTTTTATTTATAAACCGATTGAATTAAAACTTACACTAATTGTTAACGGAAGGTTACTACAATATAAAAGTGAAAACTAAACCAAAATCGGTTCAGCCGTTTTTGAAATTACAAACAGACAAACCGACAAACAGACAAAAAAAATAAAAATCGTTGTTTTGTGTTCTGTTACGTTTATAAATGCCTCTCATAACTGTTTTTTTCTTTTTATATATCTTTAATGTACAGACATCGATCGGTTACGTTTTCATTAAACATAGTATAGATTGTATTTATATAAATTTAAATGATTTTATATAAATTATCGGCCCCAAATATTGACGTTGTAGTAGTAGCCTCGACCAACTGCTGATTGGAACCTGATGGTCACATTGTTGGCACGAATCCCACCAGCAATCACCCACGCTGAAGCAAACTGACTAACACCAACTTCTGTAGCATTGATGGCACTAATCCTTGTTCCAATACTGCCACGATAAACCAGATCCTGGCGCTGGACTGCGTTTACCATCGCTGGCCTGCTGACATATGTGCTGGAAAAGAAGTAACTTGGTAATTTTATTATAGAATAACTATCTATTCTTCTACAATATTTTAAGGCAATCGTTTTAAAAAATATGGTATGATAAAATTGATATCTCGCTACTTTGCTCAGTTTATAATTTTCTAAGAACTTTCAGTTTGACCCTCGTAATTTATGGCAAAGTAGCTAGTGTAAATAAAATATAATACTGACCTGTATAAGAGTCTGTCACCGGCAGTAACATATCCTACGTTGAGATTAGCTCTACTTGTCGGCGCATTAATTACAGAAGCCTGGATAATTGCCAGAGCAGATAGAACAAGGAGGATTGAGAATCTCATCTGTAAACAAAATAAGCACATATAATTAAAACCGATGGACAACATCGACTTTGGTAAAGATCCCAATTTAGGAGACGTTAAGGGAAAGTTTTCCCTGTCTAGAGGATCACCAATTCAAATTTATAACCAAATCCATACATTTCTAAAGACACCAATTTAAGAAGCGTAAAGCTAAAAAACTATCTTATTGCGCTTGGCAATTAGGCTGACCGGGAATGATGTCAAATTATGCAGCAAAAACGGTTTACAATTAATTACGCGCAAACGATCACCTACGATTTTTTTAAAAAGCTGCATAATTCCTTCGGCTACAAAATGACTCACATATTTATGAATTTTGCCTATAAATGTAATCAAATCAGAAGCGGAAATAAAATAAGGTTTTTATGGAATTTCCTACGTTCATATTGATTTAACCGACGTGATGTTAAGAACACTTAGAAATATGACGCAGTATTCTTATTTTTATTACAGTTTATTTGTATGTTATTACTTTATACAAAACTAGTTATTGTTTTTCGGTGGTTTGCGCCCTCTTAAATGAACTTTAACCATACAAATTATATTGAAATTCTTATCAACGAATAATACGATAAACATGGACCTACCGCCAACGATCAAACAAAAGGAAATAGTATACATGCGATATAAAATACTAAATGGAAGTAAAAGGAATTCTATTTTATTATCTTTTCTTTGTAAAAATACAAGTTAATAAATAAAGCATATTACAACAACTGAACCGTATAAAACTCACCTTTGTTAATTAAAATATTCTTAATCAAAAATGAAATCCTTTAGTTTTTCCAACTAGTTGAAACTACAGCTGTTCAATACTATTTTGGATACGTATGATCGCATTATATACCTCAATAAAAAATGATATGACAAGATTAAATCATTATTTATCGATTTCTGTTGAATCATTATATCAGGTAAATAGCAACATAGGTCGATAACATTACGCATCTTTAGGATTCCTTTAATTGAATAAATGAAATAATGGAACCTTAAAACTCGTTTATCTATCCGTAAGTCTGTTACAACTAGAGCTCCAAATACCGGATTTCTCTGAATTATTTTTACAATAGCGGAAAGAGACAAGGTGGAAGTGCTAACTTTATGTAGTAATAAATATAAATGTACTTGATTTAAGTCTCCTACTTAAGTTATTTTTGAAAGTCAATTAAATAATGAAAACAAATTTCTAATAAACCATAACTATATTCTAGTCAAAAATGAGTTATAACTCGTAAAGAAAAACCCTGAGAAATTCCATTTTGAGGGCTCATCTAGAGGGCAAAATGGAAAGCTTGCCTTTAAGCCTTGGAATATATATAACACAAATTTAAGTCTAGCAATTAATACTTAAAATACAACCATTTTCTAACTAACGTACTCATTTACAATACGACAGACATCGTAAGCTGTCTCTTATATCGTAATTTCTTCGGTAAACAGGGAAAAATATTTATTTACCTTTCCCTGTTATATTCCGTTCTCCCTTCCTTTTTTATGTCCCTTTGTTTTTACAATAATATTTATGTTCATTGTTAACTTTAATTTTTTTTACTACTTTCATTTTGCTCTCAACTTCAAATTTCATCTTGCCAGTACGCTGGTATTATAATTACAATGCCAAATCTAAAACTTACGAATACTTTGCTTTGGTTATTGTACACTTGATTTGTAAGTAGTACATATTTACTCTCAAGGCAAAATAGTCTTATATCTTACTTAGGCAATTAAAGCTGAGAAATATAACGTTTTTGTAATATTTTTCTATGAAATGAACACATAGCTTGTACATTTTACTGGCTGATGCAAATCTGACTAAATGTCGTTGGTAAATCACATTCAGCTACGTGTCTCTTTGTGTGTATCATCACTCAAAGAGACACGTAGAGACACGCGATGGATTACATATTTTGTCTATAATAAGAAGTTTCCATTTTAACCCACTTCTTCCATCTTGTCTTCCCTTCCCCTACTGGTAAACAGGAATTCCGTTAATACGGTAATAAGTACGGTTCGATAGTCATCTCTTCTCTCTTAGGGATTTTCAAGAAGGAGCTAAGGGACCGTGATTCTTAGCTTCTTCTTAACATGTAAATAACTACGAACAAACTGATGATTATGTAATATGTATATGACAGCAGTGTTACCAACTCAGTCGTTAATCATCAAAGTAAACGAGATAACACCATAGTATTCGCTAAGATATCGTATATCGACTAACAATAAACTATTATAACCCAGTTTTCTATGTAAGAACAGTGGACGGTAAATCCTAATGTTTTCTCACTTAATATAAATCAAATCTTTACACTCTTAAATAATTACAATAATTTAATTTTAGAGTTCGCCATTGGCAACCGCGAAGAACAGCTCCTAAATTTCAAGATCTAGAAAAGCGGGTTTGTGTTTAATTTGTATCAAAGTATTAGAAATTCAATTTAAACTCATAACAGAACTTACAGTTTCATCATTGCCGTCCACGCTTTCCCAAATTTTTAAAAAGAAACGCAGGCTCTTTTTTGCCAAAAGTTTTGAGAAAGAACCGCAGGCTCTTTTTTGACTCACGATTGACTAGGTTTCTTAATCTAAACGGACACTTGCTTGATTTTAATTAATTTAATATCTAATGGGTAATTATAGCTTTATCATAAATTTTTATTTATAAAATAACATTTAGTGGAATCGGGCGTTATCTTGCGGACGTCATTGGTACTATGATATCTAGCAACTTCTACGACCAGTCCGTGTCTGTAGTCAGTATCGGTGGTTAGCTCTGTAAAGTCTACAATTCCCGTGCATGGTCCGTGGTGGGACGAAAAACGTATAGAGTGGTGATTTTTCCGATATTTATTTCCGTTTGTGCATGCATGTGAATTTGTCTATGGGGTACTGACTAGACGTGGGAGTTGCTATTTAGATACCGTAGTTTCATAGTTGTAAAGATGTATTATATACACATTTACTCATTCACACTCACACGCCTGGTTCTCAAAGTCAAATTATTTTATTTGCGCAATAATATGTATTAACCATTGGAATGTTCAACAATGTTTAAAAACCAAATATTATTCCACCTCATTCTTGAAGAACGGTTCAATCACGGTTGAGCTGATAAAATAATTTGAAAATGTATTGTTTTTTCTTATTATTTTTGTACTAAATTTCTTAGTCTGAATAAGCTAAATGTAATATTTAGAGAGCACAGACTTCTGATATACAAGGCAACCTAATTTGGGAGATAGGGGAAATTGATTTCTTACGCTCTATAGTTACTCAATAAATAATTATTATTATTATATTTGTCAGATACTGCCCTCCTTTTCACTTTGAATTTTGTTAACGTGTACGAAAATTTTTTGATTATAGTTAATTATAACTTAACTTCTCTCGTTCGTACTATCCTATCTAATATAGGTATCATGTGGAGGAAACACCGATGGTTAGAGTCACAGAGGTTAGGGACTTTGGATTGACAATCACGACCAATCTCTCAACATCACAACTATTTGTAAAAAGGCCTTTCAAACTCTAGGATTCACCTTACGTACTGTTCGTAACTTTACTAATGTGAAGGCTATTGTTGCTCTTTACAATACATTGGTTAGGAGTCAGTTAGAATGTAATTCAGTCGTTTGGTCACCGCATGAAGTTAAATATATTTCTATGCTCGAAAAGATACAAAATAAATTCATTCGATTCTTGTATATGAGACTATACGGAGTGTATCCTTTCTATCTACTTATGTATCCAACCTTATTTGTGTTGGGAATGGTGGGGTACAACGAACTTAGCTTCAGGAGGAAGCTTACACTGGCTTCCTATATCTTAAAAATTATTAGAGGAAATATTAATAATCCTAATATATTGGAGTCAATACAGCTATATGTACCGGACAGATACGTGTGGCGACGCCGAAAACCGCAGTTGTTGTTTGTGCCGCGCGCGCGTACCAACCTCACTCTTAACCTTAACCTAACCTCGCGGGCATACCGCACTCTTAACCTTATCGCTGATCGAATAGATATATTTATTTGCTCACTGAATGAATTCACAAAGGCTGCGTTGTATATTATTTGTTATACGTATACGTCAGTGATTTCAAAATGGTTTATATTGATCGAATCGGCATTCGCGATGCTATACTGAAAAAAAAATGTTGAATGGTTTGTATTAATTTTTACTGTAATTTTTGTTATTTGAATTTTTAATGCCCTGACTACAATCATTTATATTTTATTTTTATATATTATGTATGAATATTTATTGAATATTAATTTAATGATTTTATGATGTTTTATTGTTAATTTGTGTATTATAATTTTCATAATTTAATTGATTAATTTTGCTTTCACTATCGCATTGGGCTATACCTGTAATGATAGTTACAAGATATGAAATAAATAAATAAATAAAATCATTTCTCCGATTTTTACAATATTTTCACTATTTGCAACCCCAAAAATCATCAGGGTTGTCAAATGTGTAATTAAAAACTTTTATATTTAGAAACCTTAAATCGAAAAAATACCTAGGTGTTGTGGAACATTCTAGAATAGGGGTGAATAAACGTGCGCCATTCTGTAATAAGTTAGTAGTGATCAAAATGGAGGGAAAACATATAATCGGAATTTGCTTTCCCTCCATTTTGATAACATTAGAGTCAAAAATCGTGAGAGTTCACAAAATATAGCCACATACGCCAGACAATTTTGCTGAAGAAAATATCAGCCTTGTAGATCGACATGTCTATGAAGTAACTCATCATTTCAGCCGAGAGACGCCCACTGCTGGGCATAGGCCTCCCCCAAAGATCTCCAAAACGATCGGTCCTGCGCTTCCCGCATCCAGCGGCTTCCCGCGACCTTCACCAGATCGTCGGTCCACCTTGTGGGGGGCCTGCCAACACTGCGTCTCCCGGTACGCGGTCGCCACTCCAGGACCTTACCGCCCCAACGGCCGTCAGTCCTGCGAGCGATGTGCCC